ACCGAGGCTGGCCAGGACTGAACATTCCTGTGTGCATTTGGCACCAGGACAGACACAGTGGGCCCAAACCCTGCAGCCTGCAGCCATCTGGGATGCTGCAAACAGCAATAAACCCAAAAGGTGCTGGTTTGATCTGTTAGCCCCCTGAGCAAGCCAATGTCTTCAAACATTTGTGTGTCTGATGTCTCAATGAACGCATTTTCATTTCTGCACCAAGTGTTTGCAGCCTTCTCTCCCTGTTAGAGGAGCATTAATTCTGCCACTCCCTGAGTTCTGAGTTTGGGCTCCCTGGGCCCATTTCCACTGTCAGAACTTGTGTTTCCAAATGTCAAAGGCTAAATTCCTTAATTCCTTAATTCCTTAATCCCATTATTTGTGGGGTTGTGACAGGCCCCACAAGGCTGAGGCCACCTCATCCCCAGGCAGGGAGCACCTCCATCCCCTCATGGAGGAACCATGAAATTCCACACAATCAAGGCCCCATTTTCAATTAAAATTTGCCTTGGAATATTCCCAGGCTGCTCCCAGTGCAGTTCCTTTCCCCCAGCCTGGTGTGGATGTGTTTGCTCTGTCCTAATGGTGAATTCCCATCAACTTTCTGCCAGGGAAAAACCCAGAGCTGCTCAGTGGGGACCACATCCTTCAGCCTCAGGCCTCTGCTGCACTTTTAATTACAACACTCAGGATCCTTCTTTCAAATCCTAAACCCGAGGAGAAAGGAGCTTTTCCTTTGCACAGCATCCATGAAATTCCCTGCTCCAGTGACACCCATGTGCTGCTGGTTCCTAAGGGACATTCCCTCTTTTCCCTTTTCCCATGGAAGATGAGTTTGCCCAAAGCCACACTTTAACATCACTTTAACATCAGTTGTGCTTTGTGCCCACACTGAATTGTAAGGATCATTTTCCATCAGCAACTGTGCTTGCAAATGGATAATTCAGGTTTGTTTTGCCTGGGGTACACAGCAGTTTGAACACTGGTTTAATTTTAATTGTACCCAATTTGGGTCTTTATTTCTAGGTGCAGGCAGATCCCCTTTCCAGTTTGACACAAATCAGCTGCTGAAATGCTGGCCTAAAACAATCCTGAGAGGGGTTTACACAAACCCATTCCCCCGTTTAGGCTGAGCCCAAACCCCACCAGCATTCCCAGATCCCTTTGGCATCCCTCCCTTTGCAAGAGGACATTTTCTATCAGTATTGCAATCAATGACCACCAGCCACGTCACTGGGTGGAAAATTCCCTTCAGCACTGCTGGCCTCGTTGGATTCCTCAGGGAGAGGAGGAAAGGATGGGATAAAAGCTTGGGATGTTTTGTGGAGAGGGAAAACAAGAGAGGAGATGACTCAAATCACCCTGAATTTCAGGCACCTGGAGAAATGGAACGCTCCACACTTCCCATGCAGTTATTAGCACATAAAAACCACTTTAAATACTTGATAATGGAAGGAATTTAAAGGATTAACAGGAAATTAATGGATAAAGGACCCTCTCTGTGTCTTTCTGAAAGCAGCCGCTCCACATTGTTTTAAAAGGCACCAAGTTGAACCTTCTCCAACTGCTTTTTAATAAATGTAAATAATATTCCAAAGCAGGGACGAAATGCCAGCAGTCGAGGGGTGGCTGAGCCATCCATGGCATGTAAATGAATCCCCTGCCTGGATATCAGGATGTGGATGTGCAGCCTTCAGGAATTAAATGAGCCCAACTTGCACAGCTTGTAAAGAGCTTCCCAGGGCTCCCAAAAAAATCCCTTTTATTATTTATGTGGGAAAAGAAGAGCAGCAGCAAGGGGGGAGAGTTGCAGGTGACACCAGGAGTCAGTGAAACCTGACAGAAGATGCTGAATTTTGGTGAAATTGAGGGCAAATAAATTAATCATGAACAAGGGAAATGCAAAAAAACACTGGAGGGTGTAATTGGATTTGCACACAAAACTAATGGCAGCATTCCTGCAGCTGGGAGAGCAGATCCAGCTTCCTTCAGCAGGAATCATGGAATTATTGGAGCTGGGAAAGGCCTCAAGGGGATTCCTAAATCCGACAGAACTGCCTGGAAATCGTCATTCCTAAGGGATGGGAGCTCTACCTTGTTCCCTCAGCTCAGCCTGGATCATCCAGGGGGGTTCCCTGGCCCAGTTCAGTGTCAATGGGTTCTCCAATCCCCACTTTGCCACAGTTTTCCTGTTTCCACTCCCTTCACATCCCTTTAGATGAGAGATTGTGAATCAACCTCCAGCTCAATCTCCAGGTCTCAGAGAAAGAGGAGAATTCCTTTTCCTCATGGATATTTCCCCAGCTCTGTTTTTCCCCAAAACCCCTCTTTAGACCCTTCAAGGGCTCTGACCTCGCTAAATGGGAATGTCCCCACAGCAAGGTCCTGCTCAAAACCTGGGATGGGCAGAGCTGCCCAAACTCCAGCTAAACCTGGTTAAGATCCTTGTTTCAGGAGACATTTCCATGTTTTCTCTGGGTGATTTTACTCTCTGTAGTTAGTGTGTGCATTTACACCCTGTAGTTACTCATCCAGCCTGTTGGAGAGGAGTGAGTTGGAGCTCAGGGGACAGAACAGAAATCTGGGACAAGACCTGCAGGTGTCTCCCCCCTCCTGCCCACCTGAAGCCAGGATGCTGCAATCAGGTTTTCCAGCTGGGGAAAATGTGGAATATTGGCTTTGCTGTGCTCTCCCAGCTGCAATCAGGGCACTGAGAGCCACAGGGCCCCTGAAACAGGAACATTTCCCCTTCAGAGAGCTCATCCCAACCAGTTTGTCATTTATTCTTGTGTTTTCTTTGGCATCCAGGGAAATTGCTGGAAGTACAAACATTCCCTGGCATTTGATCTCTTCCCTGTATTTCAGGTCTGGACAAGCTTTCACACACAAAGCCAGGCTTTAGCCCTGGGGCACACAAAGAGTCTCCCTGGTTTTATTGGGATTCCAGAAATCCCCAAACTGCCACAGCAGGAACCTGCAGGAGCCTCATGACAGAAAATCCAAGTTTTAAGAGATTTAAAGCAGGGAAAGGTCTCCAATTCTGTCTGTGCCTTGGAATACCCAGGGAAAGCAGGGAACAAAAGTATTGGACACAATTCCAGAGGTTAGACAGTGCTGCACAGGGAACATGAAGCAAATCCCAGCACCTACAGCTCAGGGAAATTCTTATGGGTTTATTTTATTTAGAACACTTCTCTAGAGCTTCTCCAGCCCTTTGGGAAGCTGAAAAACTTGAACCAGCAAAGGGAATCCAAATAAATTCAGCTCCAGGTAAGTGAGATATTCCTAATGCAGCCTTTCTTTCCCTGTGCAATTTAACAAATGAGTTTCCAGCGTCTGACAAGTTGTCTGGGAAAACAGAGAAGCTCAGATTAATTCCAGCTTGGGAGAAATGAGAACTCAATATTTGCTGATTCCCAGCCACCCACTCTGGAGCTCAGAGCTGTGGAGGATCCATCAATCCCAACATGTTCAGCCTCCCGTGAGGAATGGGATGTACAGGATGGGTCCTCGCCTGAGGGTCGGCTCCCTGCCCTTGGAATTCCTGAGGAACCATCCCCAGCTCCCTGCCTTTCCTCCCTGTGCCTCTGCCCGCTTTATTTCCACCCTCTGGTGTTGATATCGCTCCCATCCATCACATCCCAACGGAATGCCCTGGGAACGAGGTTTGGGAAAGCCTCGCGGGCTGCCTGTGCCCAGCTCAGAGGGGATGGAGTTTGGGATGGAAGGAACCACGCTGTGGAAGCTGCTCCTGCGGGAATCTCTGCCCCAGCGTGCTGGGAAGAGCCTGGATGCCCAACCCAGCCAGCCCTGCTACAACTGCTCCGGCAAAACCCCGCAATCCATCCGGGACCGAGGGATCATCCCCGTGCTCTGCCCAGCGCCAGAGCCCGGATTGGTCCCGAGCATTCCCGGGATGATCTCATCGGGATCCAGCCCCGGGCCGGCAGCTTTTCCGTGCTGACAAACACCGAACTCCCGGCTCAGGAGCCCTGCATCGATCCGCCGGCTCTTCCAGCGCCTGCGGCTGAAATCCCTGCGGAATCCCGAGGCTCAGAGCCGCGGGCTGCTCCCCCCGGGAAGCACAGCCACGTTTGGGTTTTTTCCCCAGTAATTGCACAGCCAAAAGAAAAAAGGCTGTGAAATCCAGGGAAATTCTACCGCAGCACCCGGCCACGGCTCGGCAGAGCCCTGAGAATCCCCGAGAATCCTCGGGCATCTTTTCCAAGCGCTGTTCGGAATTGTTACCACCCGGAGATGATTCCCTCCTTCCCGAGCACAGAGCCCAGCCTTAAATTCCCGTAATAAACTTACAGCACGTCAGGAATCTCATCGTGACCGCTCCGGCCGCCTTCTCCTCAGGCAGAAGTGCTTTCGGATCCCACATTCCCTAAGGAAATGTGCCTGCGCATCCCCGGCGGTGTCCCAGCCCTGTCCCGCTGGGCACCCCGCACCCCGCCATCCCCTCCCCGGGTATTCCCGGAGCTGCTCCTCCATCCCGGGGAGCTGCTCCATCCCGGAGTGCTCCATCCTGGGGAGCTTCTCCATCCCGGAGCTCCATCCTGGGGAGCTGCTCCATCCCGGAGCTCCATCCCGGAGCTCCATCCCGGGGAGCTGCTCCATCCTGGAGCTCCATCCTGGGGAGCTTCTCCATCCCGGGGAGCTGCTCCATCCCGGGGAGCTGCTCCATCCCGGGGAGCTGCTCCATCCTGGAGCTCCATCCTGGGGAGCTTCTCCATCCCGGAGCTCCATCCCGGAGCTCCATCCCGGGGAGCTGCTCCATCCCGGAGCTCCATCCCGGAGCTGCTCCATCCCGGAGCTGCTCCATCCTGGAGCTCCCTCCTGGATCTGCCCTGCTCCATCCCGGAGCTGCTCCATCCCGGAGCTGCTCCATCCCGGAGCTGCACTGCTCCATCCCGGAGCTGCTCCATCCTGGAGCTCCATCCCGGAGCTGCCCTGCTCCATCCCGGAGCTCGGTGCGTTCCTTTCGGAATTCCATCCCTTACCAGCCGCATGGTGAAGTTTCCCAGGAAAAGGAGGCAGGAATGCGGCTCCTCCCGGCGCTGCCTCCCGTGGAACAGCAGGACACAGGGAAGCTGCGAACCTCGGAGTTGAGCACCAGAAAAACCTCAAAGAGAGGGCGGGGAGGGGAAAATGGGAAGAGCCAGAGCGGGAGCGAGCAGCCACAGCCAGCGAGAGGAGAAACTCCTGGCACGGCTCCAGCGCAGGGATGGATCCGCTGTCATCCCCAGCCATGGGAATGGGGGAAACTCGGATTTACCGGAGGCTTCGGAGCCGCTCTGATCCCTGCAAGGAGCATTTGGCAGGGAATGACCCGCGAGGCTGGGTCCGAACGGGAATGGCGGGGTGGGTGTGTGCAGCACGCAGAAATACAGCAATCCGATAGTCTGCTTTATATAACCTATTTCCTAGATTTTATTTTATGTATTTTATTGCATATAGTCTGTTTTCTATACTCTACATTCCATAATATATAATATATTAACTATTATATACAATATATAATACATTATATATTATATATTATATATTATATATTATATATTATATATTATGTATTAATTTTATATTTCTATTTCATAGATTCTATTTTATCTATTTTATTTTATAGATTCTATATTCTACTTTCTGGTTTCTATTTTATATAAATAAACCCAGCTGCCAGCACCAACTCCAGACAGCTCGTTCCATCAGCTCTTCCATGGGAATTTTATTAGACACAATTCCAACCCCAAATCTGCATCCAGTTGGCTTCACTGGGGTTTGTGATGCTCTTCAGGCACAAATTTCTTAAGGGGTTTTCCCCTAACGTTGCCAAAAATCCATTCTCTGGAGGTAATTCCAAGGATTTCAAGCATTTCATGGTACACTGTCAGTGTCCTGAGCCTAAACTTGTGCAAAGATTTCTGCTTTGGCAGCGTCCTTCCAATAAAAGGAAAAGAAATAATAATCCAAACTAGTAATAATTGCTAATTTTTCTTAGGCCAGAAGGCTCTGTAAGGCTCAGACAGAGAACTCGGTGCTCCTCCCACATCCAAACCCCAGTTTTCCATGGAATTCTTTGGTCTCCTGAGCTCCAGCCCCTGTCCCTCCCTCTCCCTGCCCTTCCCAGGAGCCAGGCTTGTCCCTCCCTGTGCTCCCAGGAGGGATCCCATGGCAGGGATCTGATGGGGGCCTTGGGCCAGCAGCTGGAAAGGGAGAGGAGCTGCCCCTGCCCCTCAGGAGAGCAGGAGGGACACAGAGAGCCCTGGCTGGGAAAGCAGGATCCGGGCAGGTTCCTGGTGTCCAGGCTGCTCCATTCCCTCTGGGCTCTGGAATAATGAGCATTCCCTGCCCAAACAATGGATTCTAAAGCTGCCAAAATCCAGGAGCTCCTGTGTCGCTATAGGACATGAAACAACACGAGCACATACACACTGCTGCTCTCAAGGTGAAGAAAAAGGAACTTTATTTATTTATTTTCTGACTCCAACATTTATAGATCTCCAAAAGTGACAGTGGATTGGAGGGTGACAGTGCCACCTCTCCAATGACACTGGACAATCCAACAGTCCATCACATCTCTCCTCCTCCATAAAAGAATGCAAAACAGTGAGTTATTTACAGAAAGTGTGTGAGAAAGTTTGCTACAAGAATGTGAACATCAAAAGGCTTGGAAAATCTTAAAAAACCAGGGCGACACTCCTGCATTCCCAGAACTGCCTGAGAACATCCTTAAAGCCAGGGATTGAATCCAGGAAGCCAAAGGGGTCATTCCCTCACCCTGCCAAGCAGTGGGACCTGAGAGTGCCATGACCTCGGAGCTGCCCCCAGTGCCAGCCCCACCCCACAGCTGGGACTGCAGCCGGCTGGGCTGAGCCAGGGCCTTCCAGAGGAGCAATTCCCTTCTGCTGGACTTGACCTTGGATTTGCTGTGTCCTAGGAGCTGGGGGGGTTTGGCTCTTGGGGTCTGGTCAGGGGTGGGGTGATCTGGACAAAGCAGGGAGGTGCTGGGTGGTCAATCTGGAGCAGGATGGACCATTTGGAGCAGGATGGTCCCTCTGGAGCAGGATGGTCCCTTTGGAGCAGGATGGATCCTCTGGAGCAGGATGGACCATTTGGAGCAGGATGGTCCCTCTGGAGCAGGATGGTCCCTTTGGAGCAGGATGGATCCTCTGGAGCAGGATAATCCATCTGGAGCAGGATGGACCATTTGGAGCAGGATGGTCCCTCTGGAGCAGGATTGTCCCTTTGGAGCAGAATGGTCCCTCTGGAGCAGGGAGGTCCCTCTGGAGCAGGATTGTCCCTCTGGAGCAGGATGGTCCCTTTGGAGCAGGATGGTCCCTCTGGAACAGGATGGTCCATCTGGAACAGGATTGTCCATTGGGAGCAGGATAATCCATCTGGAGCAGGATGGTCCCTCTGGAGCAGGATAATCCATCTGGAACAGGATGGTCCCTCTGGAGCAGGGAGGTCCCTCTGGAGCAGGATGGTCCCTCTGGAGCAGGATGGTCCCTCTGGAGCAGGATAATCCATCTGGAACAGGATGGTCCCTCTGGAGCAGGATGGTCCCTCTGGAGCAGGGTGGATCAAGGTGTTCCATCTGGATCAGGGTGCCCCAGCCTGCCCAGGATGCTCCTCAGCATTCCCAGCTCCCAGTCCCATCCCAGCCCTGTTCTCCAGGCACACCTGCAGCTCCTCCTGAGCCACACCCAGGCCACATCTGTCCCCTATCAAAGCAAAGAGGGTTTAAGCCAGGCCTTGTGTGTCCTCAGGCCAGGCCTAAGCTCCTCATGCTCCATCAGGAGAACCTGCTGTGGGTGCTGTGCCACGACACCCTCACCAAACCAAGCCCAGGCTTTTGATTAAAACTGGGGTCTGGCACTAAAATCTGAATTTCTGGCTAAACCCACGGGAGAACTGGCCCCTATAAGCAGCAGATTAATCACTTATGGAGACCAGCCCCAGGATTAATCATTTAAGGTGATCAGCCCCAGGATTTGCAGCTCTACACCCCTGGAATGCCAATGGAGCTGAGCTGGCTCCCTCTGCTCGCTCTGCCCTCCCCAGGGAGCTCGTTAGTGTGGGAACATTCACTGGATATTTCCATCAATCCGGGGCTTGATGGGAATTGGGATCCCCTCTGCTTGGGATTCCCACTCCTGGGTGCTCCACAGCTTCCCCCAAATCTCAAGGAACAGATTCCCAGGTATTTAAGAATGGAATTCTTGAACTGCCTCGGTCAAATATTGGACTAAGCTGGAGTTGTCTCATCCCGCCCACGCTTGGTCACTTCCAGATGGATTTATCCAAGAGAAAATGAAATCCTGGATGTGGCTCATTGCAGGGTGTCTGAAGGAACCTCAAATTCCCTGCAAAATGAAGCCTAAAAAGCAGTTTTCCAGTAGCCATGAAGATGGAAAACATCATTCCTGCTTTCAGAAGGGGAAGAAAGGAAAATCCCAGGAAGTGCAGAGCACGGAGCCTCACCTGTGCCTGGAGGTGGGATTTACATGGGATATTGGGAAGGAATTCCTGGCTGGGAGGGTGGGCAGGCCCTGGCACACATTCCCAAAGGAGCTGGGGCTGCCCCTGGATCCCTGGCAGTGCCCAGGGCCAGGCTGGACACTGGGCTGGGAGCACCTGGGACAGTGGAAGTTCCTGATGGCAGGGGTGGGATGGGATGGGATTTAAGGTTCCTTCCAACCCAAACCATTCCATGGGGAGGAGGTGGGGATCCCATCTCCAGTTTTTCCAAGGTCCCTGCAAACCCCACCTTTCCTGACAGGACAGGATGGGCCTGGGCAGCAGAGAGCCCATCCCAGCTCCCCCAGCACTCACCATTCCCAGGCCTTGGATTCCTGGTCTGGTGAAAATGGAGAATTCCCCATTTCATGCACCCCAGATAAAAGCACTTGTGCACTGGAATAAAATTATTATCAATTATTATTTTAATAATTTTAAATCACCAATTCACTTTCAAATGATACCATTTCAAGAATTCTAAATCATTAAATTATTTTAAAATAAAGTCACATGGAAACACTTGGAAAACACTGGATTTATCCCTGGAAACACCTGGAGATGGCTTTGGATGCCTCCTGAGAACTTCATTTTGGTGCTGGGAAATTCCCCCTTCAGTCCTACCTGGTTAGTGAACAAAACCCAATGTCCCAAGGAGAACTTTCTCTGCTATAAATTCCCTGGAATTCACAGGAAATGCCTTTGGTTTGCTCCATGTGGGAGCTGGGCCCGAGGGATGTGCAGGGGAAGATTTCCAATGCAAAGTAAGGAATAACTGATTTCAGTGGGATCTGCAGCACTTGGGGCCCTTAATGAGGTGCTGGAGAAAATTAATTTCCATGTGTAATATACTGAGAGACTATGAGGAAATCTGGGAATTTAATTAATCACAGCATAAAAAAAAAAAAAAGGATTGGATATAATTGTAAGTAAATATTTCTTAATTATTATTCTAATTCCATGGCTAATTTAGAGGCATTTCCCTGGATACTGTTCCTGGTTCAGGCTGTAAAATATTTATTGGTCCAACCATAAATTCCACATTTTTGGAAACAATGATGGATTTTCAGTGCCTCTGTTCTAAACCCCAAACATTTAAGGCACAAACCCCAATCCTGAGCAGAGCTGTGGGATGCAAAGCTCATCTTTCCTAGGAAAAGCAGCAGGAATGGTGCAGATTCCTGTTAATTCCTCCTTAACTGGGATGCTGTCATTCCCCCCTTTATTATCCCTAATTAATTGCCCTGCCCAGCTCCTCTGGTCTGCTCATCCCCTCCCCAGTTCCATTGTGGATTTTGCTCCATTTAAAGCTTCCCAGTGCTTTTCTTTTCCATTCCAGAGGCTTCCCAAGAGCTCTCGCAGTGAATTATGGATTTTAGCTCCTCCAGTCTCCCCCAGCTGTTTATTCTGAGAGTCCTTGTGCTGTGCAAGACGAGTGGAACTCTTGGAAAATCCATTTTTCTTTCCGGGGGGAGCTGCCCTTGCTCCCTTA